AAAAGTAACAACAAAAGCACTGCTCGCTCTACAGATTACATGTTTACATTAATATTTTCATCACTCAGTCTTTTGTTTCTGAACACTTGGATTGTTTCCAAATTTTTGGTATTATAAGAATATGTTCTTGTGTATGTCTCTTAAATGCACAAAAATCATGTGATATTTCTAAAAATGAGTTATGCAAATGCTCAACCATGAAACATAATGCAAAATTGTTTATAACTCACCAATTTACATTTCAAGCAGAGTGCGTTAGTATTTCCTTTATTTTTAATCCTGACAACTTTGCTATTGTCAGAACTCTTCATTCAATTAATGTTGTGGATTTGGCACGACAATGAAGCACTAGGCAACTTACTCAAAGGTTGTTGTTGTTGTTGTTAAGTACCATGGAGCTGGTTCGGACTCATAGTGACCCTACTTAGGGTTTCCGAGGCTGTAAATCTTTCTCCTGCAGAACCGCTGGTAGTTTCGACTGCTGATCTTGAGGTTAGCAGCCCAATTCGTAACTACTACGCTACCAGAGCTCGTTACTCAAAGATAGGCAGTTCAAATCCAATCAGTGGCTTCAAAAGAGAAAGACCTGATGATTTGCAGGTCTTTCTAGACTAATACTTACTACCCCTATGGGGCAGTTCTACTTGGTCACTTGAGTTGTTATGAGCTGAAAATCAACTGGACAATGCTTAACAACAATACTAAGGGTGTAAAGGAAAATCTTTTTGGAAACTTAATTGGGAATTATCTAATAACTGATGAAATGGGCACAACTACAAAAAAATTAAATCCACCATCGTCTAGTTGAATTTGACTCATAGCAACCCTATAGAACTGTTCCCTGTCATTTCTGAGGCTGTAAATCTTGAAAAAAACCCCACCAGCTGCCCCACAGGAGAAAGATGAGGCTTAGTGGTTTCATAAATAATTTCCAGCCTTGGAAATCCTATGAAATGCCATGAGTCAGAACTGACTCAGTGACAGTGAGCTGAATTCAGCTGTTTAACGAAAGAGGGTTGGATGATAGGAACTGAAGGGCTTCAGGGGATACCACGGCCAGAAGTAACTTCTCAAGATTTTATCTTGCTTCAAATGTACTTGTCACCACATGGGGAAGTTAGATTTATCTTCCCTGCCTTTCTGTTGAAAGATTCTGGTATTTGTTCTTAGAGCAAACCCTACTTTTTAATTTTCTTTGCTTTATTGTACACAGATCCTGCTCTCTTAATTGTTGTTGAGTACCGTGGAGTTGGTTCCGACTCATAGTGAAAGGGTTTCCAAGGCTGTAAATCTTTACGGGAGCAGAATGCCTTATCTTTCTCCTGCTGAAACACTGGTAGTTTTGAAGTGCTGACCTTGAGGTTGTCAGCCTGACTTGTAACCACTACGTTACCAGAGCTTCTTAATAGCGTACAACTTTTACTTTATTTTGTTTCAGGGAAGAAACAAAGTAAGACACCCATGAAGATTTTTCTTGTTTCCTGTAAACTCTATTTCTTCTCCCTCTACCCCCAAATATGCTCATTTTGTTACAGAAAGGCCCATAAGAAAACCAATTTCAGAACTTTATTTTAAACATTAGGGAGTTTGAGAGTATTTTTCATTGATAGTAGGAACATAGGAGGTGGACTTCTGTGGTTAATATATGGCAAGTTCCATATTACATGTATGACAAGTTTAATTTTATAGTTCATGAGTTTGAGATAGCAATGATATACAAATACATATGCCAAGTGAATATTTGGACCTGGAATTCAAGAGATGAGTCTAGACTAAAGATATAGATTTATGAGCAAACAGCATAAATGTGTTAATTAAACTTGTGGACATGGAGAAGATTCGTGGAGGAGATTGCTGACTAATAATGCAGATATTGAAAATAAAGGTCAAGAAAGAACCATCAGCACCATGAACCCTTGATGGAAAAAAAGAAAGAAAATGGAGAAGTATTTAGAGAGGTATCTTTAAAGTGATGAGAGTGTGTATTATATAGATCATGGTAAGAAGGTGGTCAACTGTGGTCAGAGTAGAAACAAGATTGTAAGGAATGGTAAGGTGGTAGTTTGTGAAGACCAGAGCTTTAAGGAGCTGAGGTAAATGTAAGCCAGTGTCAGGGTTCATTGTGGAAAACAGGGAGAAATGAGTTTTTAAAATAAAATTGAACATGCTTAAATATGTTTCAGGGCTGATGGTAAAATAGTCAACAGAGAATTAGGGATAGAAAGTTAATGATGGAAGCTAATGATGGATACATCATTATGGAAGGGAAGGATGGGAAAACTGTAGATATGCTAAGTTGATATAAACAAAGAGTTATCTGATGATTTCTCTGTTATCAAACAAAAAGAGAAGTTATGGAGTAACATTGAGGATAACTTTAAGTAAAAAATGTACACTGGAGGTGCTTTGGGTAAGTATTAGTCTGTTGATGGAAAGGTTGTTGATGGTTTAAGTTTATCAGCAGCTCTGCAGGAGGAAAGACTTTAGTTATCTACTCCCACAAAGATTACAGCGTAGAAAATCCTAAGGGGCAGTTCTATTGTCCTATAGGGTCTCTGTGAGCCAGAAGTAACTTCTCAAGGCACATAACAGCGACAACAGCTTTAAGCCAAGTGGAGAGTTTCAAATTGCTACTGAGGATAATGAGAGTGCTGATTAGCAAAATGCACCATATTGCCAAGCAGCATGGAAGGCTCAGCTGAGGACGCAGCTGATAAATTTGTAGAGCTCTCAGTGGGAGGGCTGTGTGGTTTTTCGCTAGTGGTGTCTGGCCAACAAACAGTCATGGAAAAGGCAGTTGTTTTACTATACTCAAGATTAGGAATTTTGTGAAAAACGAAACAGGGCAGTGTGCTTGAAGTTATTAAAAAGGGAGGTTGAAGTGATGGTGGAAAAGGAGACTAAAAGAAGAAACCAATGTATTTGAATTTTCTATGTAGCCAAAGAATAAGAAGAATCTGAGTGAGCAAGTATATAGAGAGACTAAAAATAGGATATAGGATAAATGATCAAGAGTTTCATATCTAAAGCATTTTCAACTGAAGATACGGTCTATGGTGTGGAAATAATGAGAAGTGGAGTAATGGAGATATCATTAGACCATCAGGGTGGAATAGATTCAAGAACTCAATTTTGGGGGATTAAATGGGCCCTAAATTAATGGGGTGGTGCTGTGGGTTAGTGCACCAGACTGCAAAGCCATTTGAATGGCAAGGTCAGTGGTTCAAGCTCACCAGCTGCTCCTTGGAAACCCTATACAGGATTACTATGGGTTGGAACTGACTCGATGGCACTTAGAAAAAAATAAAACAACACATTACTAGGACTTGAAGTCAAGGATAAACCTACTTTGTAATCAGTTAATAAAAAGCAAATAGATCAGGAACTCTTCACAAATCTATTAAAAGGTATATGTTGTTGTTAAGTACCGTGGAGTAAGTTCTGATTCATAGCTATCCTGTATAGGTTTTCCAAGGAGTGGCAGTTGGGTTTGAATCACTGAGCTTGTACTTAGCAGTCCAGTGCTTATTCTACAGTGCCACACCAAAACTCCAAAAAGGTACATGTACTTCACTGATGACAAAGTTTTAAGAAAGTCATTTGTTTAAAAAAATTTTCAAAGGTGAGCTAAGTACCATATATATGAAGAATAGTTATTTTCTGCTCAAAATCTACAGGAATCTCTTGAGGCACAAAGAGCTGAATACAAACTACAAAACTGAAAATGTTTAGATACTAGTTACTTTTGTTGTTGATAAATGCCATCAAGTCAGTTCCAACTCATAGTGACACTGTATAAAGTTTCTGAGGAGTAGCTGGTGGGTTTAAACTGCTAACTTTGTGGTAACTGCTAACCTTGTGGTTAGCACCCCAGTGCTGATCATACAGCGCCACCTCAGGAAGTATTGTTACTAGTGAAGGTAATAGGATTTATTGGCAAGGTTTTAAAAATGTATACATATACCCTCCCCAAGTGTCAGAAGAGCTTTGCTAGGAAGAAGAGAGATACATGATAACACATGGGCTATTCAATCCTTTGCTCCTGTGAGCTTTAATATTTATAAAAGAGAAAAAAAAAATGTTAAATACCCAATTAGCCTATGGTGGATTATTATTGAAACAATAAAGGAGCATAGAGCTTTATCAGTTTAAGATGACAAGAATGCTCTCTTCCTTCACATGCCTTGTTTGTTGTTGTTAAGTGTAGTAGAGTGGATTCCAACTCAAGTATTCTATATAGGATTTCCTAGGCTGTAAATCTTTCTCCAGCAGAGTGGTTGGTGGTCTTGAGCTGTCGACTTTGTGGTTCACTGTTCAGTTCTTATTCTGTCCACTTCATGGTTCACTGTCCAGTTCTTATCTGTATCCACTGTGTTCTCACAGGAAGAGAGGCTCCGCCTGTTTTGACATCATGACTTAGGTAAATGTATTGCTATAAAATTAGGGTAAAATCAACACTGACATGAAAGATTAAGAGCTGGAAGTGATTTGTTACATCCACATTTCCTGTTGTCTATAATATATATGAAAGAGCTCTGGTAGCGTAGTAGTTACGAATTGGGCTGCTAATCTCACAGTCAGCAGTTCTAAACTACCAGCTGCTCCACGAAAGAAAGAGGAGGCTTTCTGCTCCCATAAAGATTTATAGCCTCGGAAACCCTGTGCAGGGTCACTATGAATCGGAACCTACTCCACGGCACATAACAACAACATTATATTTATGAGGGTGCTTCATAAAGTTCAGTGAAAAATAAAACTAAAAGAAATAGAATTTCTCCATGAATTTTTTTTTTTTTTTTTAGGGTCCATGGACTTTTTGAAACTCCCCTTATACTTTATAAATTAGTAGAACCCATAAATGTAATCCAGTGTGTAGATAATTTACTCTTTAACTTGATCTGAAAGTCTTTTGTATTTTACAGCCTAGCATCTTTGATGTTTTAAAAATAGATGCATGTTATCATTCTTAAATTATTTCCCTTTTCTGTTTCTCTTATTAGTCAAAAGAGAAGATGTGTGAGGACACAGAGCCAGAGGAAACTTCTTCTCCAACCACAACGATCAGAGCGACAACCACACAATTCAGGGTCTTAACCACCACCAGAAGAGCATCAACAGCCCAACTGCCAACCAGCCTGCCCACAGAAGGTGCACTGGGAACATTTTTCCTTTTTTGCGATTGGAGGGAAAAAGAAGCAATGTGTTGGCATAAACTTGTGTAACAGACTCTCTCTAAAGATACAGACTCTCTCTAAAGATAAAGTTACTGGGGAAAAGTCAAAACAATTATAGGATAAACATAGGAGCGGAGCTTCTTTTAACATACTCTGCCAGGGACTCTGACTCCTTAGCCTTCGTCATAAATAAATACAGACTCTTTTAATGTTGCTAAGCTCTGCAGTAACTAAATTCAGTATTTCAGTCAAAAGACACTGTTTTGCACACAGAAGTGTGTGTGTCACAGAAATAGTCTTTGAAAAATAGTCCCTTTTGAAGAAAAGGCAGAAATACTACCAAACCTTAATACAAGAGCACAACTCATAGGAAGAAGGTGTGCTATTAGCCAAATTTGGTACGCTTCTTTTCTCATGTTCTTTTGGTACACATCTCCAAATGGTATCACTAGGGAGTGGGTAAACATAAAAGACTACTTTGTTAACAGTGAGTCTTCTAAGGGGAAAAAAAGGGCTTTAATTGACTATTCAAAGTTAACTGGAATAAAGTAAATTAGAGGGTAGCTGCTAAATGCATTTTATGGCTTTTGAAAACACGATTATATTTTAATCATTATTGTTCTGAATTATTATATCGATGCCTGTGGAAATATTTCTGTAATGTTAAAGTATATCTGACATTTTGACTGGGAGGGACAAGATCTCTTTATGTATGATTTTGGTCATATTTGTTAATATTGAATCTAAGCATTTAATTTTTTCAAGTTAAATGTCTAGATAGTGACAGATATGTACTATTTCAAATAATATTAGATCTCCATGACCTTGGTTTTAAAAATGAATATATAAGATCAAAACTATAAGGTTTAATTATAAAAAATTATTTTTTTAGAAAATAAATATTTTAAGTCATACAATGGTATATAAGTAATAAAGTCTTAATATTACAGTCATCCATTGTAGAATTCCTCGTCCTATATCATGAAAAGGTAGGACTTACTCTCGCTGAGTATAAATTAGCTCAATAAAATATTGACGCTTACTCACATTACCCTAAGGCAGTTAGAAAACTAATAGTGAGATATATGCATCTTTGTTTTCTGTTGTGGTAACTTTGAATTTCTCTTCTAGATGATACCAAGATTGCACTACATCTCAAAGATAATGGAGGTAGGAGATGACATTTTTCTTTTGTAATTATTTTAAATATAGTAAAATAGTGTCAATAGTTAAAGGAAATTCTCATCCTTCTGTATGCCTATAAAACTGTATGATGCCAATTACCATGCATTTATTCACACATGTGTGTACTCTTCCTTGTTCTAATTGCATGTGTGGGTATCTATAGTTAAGAGTATTGGTTTTACCTTTTTCACTGTTCAACATTCTGTGTATATCAAATTGAAGAAATATAGTAGTAAGTACGAAAATGTTCTGTCCTGGGCTTTTCACATCTCTTATATGAAACAAATACAAAATTCTTACAAGAACATATTGTTAGTAGGATGTTTTGAATTTTTCTAAAACAATTTACAAGTATCTATGGTGGTACTTGAAACTTTAAAGGAAAAAGATTTTACCAAAAACAAAAATAAAATTCTATGAAAGATAATAGCCTAAATTGTAAAGGCAATTATTTTCCTGTTAAACTATGTTAGTTTTAGATATTTCTCCCTCATAATATGCTGTGTCTTGATAAAAGAGATTTTCATTAGTAATTGCTAATTCATTCCCCCAAAGGGGGTCTCATATATTATGTAAGTATGGGCAAACTATGACATTGATTTTTACTTTTGCAGCTACAGATGATTTCTTGAGTAAATCAAAATCCAATATACGTACTGTTGGAGGTCTTTTACATATATATGTATGAAATTATATTTATATGCAATATATGTACTCATCTTGTATAGTTTTAAAGAATAGTTCCTAAATTATTTAGTCTAGGTTAAGCAACTAACTGTACTATGCTCTTTAAAGTCACACTTAAATGTCTATTTTACAATGTTGTTGTTAAGTACCGTCGAGTCAGGTTCTGACCCATAGCTACCCTGTATAGGGTTTTCGAGGAGCAGCTGGTGAGCTTGAACCGTCGACCTTGAGGTTCAAACCAACTTTGCAGACCAGCACATTAATCCAGAGCATCACACCAGGGGACACACACACTTCACTCTCTCTCTCTCTCCCAACTGGAAACCACTACACTAACAAGCCTTAGACGAATTCTTTTGTTTTCAGGAAGCATACATTATAAGGAATATTCTAGATGGTGGTAATGATTTCAGTATCTGGCATTTCTCCGTTACTAGTCATAAAATGGTTTTGAAGGTAATGTCTTATGAGCCTAATGTTCTTGGAATGTACTTTGGGAAATAAATTTGTATCATACTGACAGTTATTCAATGAAAATTTTTAGTTTTATTTTATACAGTAAGGAACACTAAAACTTGAGGATTTTGTCAAATCAATGTGTTAGGACCACATTATGATGCTGGAAGTCAGTTTAAGTAAATCTCACAATTTAAATATAGGAATTAAAAAAAAATACTGCATTCTGAAAAAAGTCTATAGTTGGATTTTCCAATAAAACTAGTAAGTGATAGGTAACAGGCATTTATAAGAATTCCAAAATATTACAGTAAACTTCAAATGCATCAATAAGAATTCAACTTTGAACTCTTTTCATGTGTATGAGACTTTATAACATACTATCCCTAAAATCATTCAGATACATTTAGAAGAAACCAACTTGCCAGTGTTAGGATAATATTTCTTCAAAAGAATATTTCAGGGAAACCAGTCCTGGTGTGGCATTGCAAGATACTGCCCTGAGCTGCAAGGTCAGTTTGAATTGTAAGGTTGATGCTTCAAATTCACAGCAGCTCCTTGGAAACCCTAGACAGGGTCACTATGAGACGGAACTGACTCAATGGCACTTAACAACAGTTGTGCTGTAGGATAATCACTGGACTGCTATCCATAAGGTCAGCAGTTCAAACCACCCAGTCACTCCTTACAAATCCTATATAGAATGTGAGTCAGAACTGACTCAACAGCACTTAACAACATTATCGTTTTTATAGTATATATGTAAAGATAAAATGAGAAAAAATCTCTGGTGACATGCTATCAATATGCAAGAAGAATTACAAATTTAAATTAACTTCAATTTAAATTAACTTCATTAGTTAAATTATTGTATATTGTCACAAAGATTTTAGCACTGTTAATTTCAAGTGCCGTCAAGTCAGTTCCAACTCATAGTGATACTGTATAGTGTTTCCAAGGAGCAGCTGAGGAGTTTTAACTGCTGACCTTGTACCACTTAATTTAGAGTTCTGTTCTATTCTGGACATAAGAGAAATGCTTTCAAACTAATCATCATAGAGCTAGAAGTTAACAATCCTGCATTTACATATGTCAAATCTTTTAATTACTTCAGCTCTGTGTTTTTCTGGGGCATTTCTGTAGTGGAATCTATAGTCAACATGATTATATATACTACATATATTTGTATAATTATATATATATATAACTTTCCAAGAGATTTTCCTTTATCTTTGATATGTCATAAAATAACGTCTGAGCAGCTGGATGTCAAAGTCACACAACAGGGTTTCTCTCTCAAAGGACCCAAACTGAGCTACAATCTACTAAGTCACTCCTGAAAAATCTTCAACTGTGCAATGAGTTTTCTGATGGATTTAGATTCGATATAGATGGGGAATTATACCTAACCTATGGAAGTCCTTTAAGCAAAATATAGCATTGGTTGGCCAATGTAAATGACTGAATGCAAAACCACATTTTACCTCTAACAAAATACACTGGTTGTATGCTAAGGATAAGCACTAGATCTCAAGGTCAGTTTGAACCGCAAGGCTAGTGGTTCAAACTCACCAGCTGCTCCTTGGAAAGCCTACGAAGGTTGCTATGAGTCTGTAGAAGTAAGTTAAAAGTAATGTATAATTGTAATCAAATAGTATACATGACCCTGATTTTTATGGACAAAATCAAAACCCACAGTCATCAAGCTGATTCTGAGTCATGGCAACCTTAAAGGACAAAGTAGAGCTGTCTTACAGGATCTCCAAGACTGTCAATCCTTACAGAAGCAGACTGCTCCATGGAGCAGCTGTGGAATTCAAACTGCTGCCCTTCCAGTTCACAGCCCAATGCTTAATCAGCTGCACCACCAGGGCTCCTTTTCATATGGACAGGATGATTCCTTGCTAAGTACTTATCCAAGCACAGTTCTAAATAATGTCATTATAGTAATGCTTTTAATTCATACAAAAACCCTGTGAGTTGGTCCTAGTTTTACTTCTATTATACAGATGAGAAAAACTGAGGCACAGAAAATGTATGTTAGCTGGTTAGTATGAGACACAACTAGGAAGTAAATCTATTTACCTGGGATGCTGATTCCAAGCCTTTAAAAACTTCATTCTATTGCTCCTCCATAGTACAAGTCTTTTACAATCACAATGTACTTGGCTGCTGCTGTGTTCTGTGGAGTCAGTTCCGACTCATAGCGACCCTGTACAGGGTTTCTGAGGCTGTAAATCATTACGAGAGCAGAAAGCCTCATCTTTCTCCTGCGGAACAGCTGGTACTTTCGAACTGCTGACCTCGGGCTTTGCAGCCCGATACTTAACCACTATGCTACCAGAACTCCTTATTTACTTGGCAAATATCCTAACTATACTTACTAACTTAAAACTGTTGGAAAATGGAATTTCCTTGTGCCATATAGTTAAGCATTTGTTTCCATTTTAGTCTTGCTATGGTAAACACAATGCCTTTGTGGTTATATGCCAATGAGTCAGTTATGACTCCTACCGACCCTGTATAGGGTTTCCAAAGAGTAGCTGGTGAGCTTGAACCGCTGACCTGACTGTTGATACCGACTTTGCAGTCTAGCACACTAGTTCCCTCTTGTAATCGAGTGGTTTCATAATCACTTCCACCACTTGTCTGTCAGCTTGTTGTACTATGGTGGGTTGCATGTTGCTGTGATGCTGAAAGCTGTAGCAATTTGAGGACTAAGGTGCATCTAACCCAGTCACCTTGTACACATGTGAAAGCTGGACAGTGAATAAGGAAGACCATAGAAAAATTAATGCATTTGAGTTATGGTGTTGGAAAAGAATGTTGAAAGTACCACACACTGCCAAGAAAGAAAAAAGTCTGTGTTGGAAGAAGTACAGCCAGAATGCTTTGTCTCTCATTCTTTGGACATGTTATCAGTAGGCACCTGTCCTTGGAGAAGGATTATCATGCTTGGTGAGGTAGAGGGTCAATGAAAAGAGGAAGATGTCAGTGGACTCACTAACAGTGATTGTGAGGATGACACAGGAGTGGGAAATGTTTTTGTTTTGTTTTGCATACAGTCGCTATGATTTAGAACCCACGAACGGTGTCTAACAACAACAGAATCACTGACACATGATCTCCTAGATACAGGGCTACTAGTTTATGTTCAAAATCTTTTTTCAAACTTCTCTTAGTCTTCGTGGTTTCTCTAAAGATTGACATTTAATCCACAAGTAAGAGGTTGTTGTTTTTGTTAAGTGCTACTAAGTCGATTTTGATTCATAGTGACGTAGTATAGGGTTTCCAAGGAGAAGCTGGTGGGTTTGAACTACTGACCTTGCAGTTAGCAGTCGTGTTTGTTCTACAGTAGCACACCAGTAAGAGATACATAGTACATACTCTGTAAATATACATTTCTGTTCATAATGGTTAAAATCCTTTAAAGATACATCTTCTTTTAGATTTTCAAATTCTAGCAAAAGCTTATTAGAAGAGGCATGTTTTTAAATAAACTATCTATATGATTTAACAGGTGAAACTATTGGATGCCTTCATGGGCATTTAATTAAGTTGTTTCTAAATGACATTTATCACCTACACAGAAATGTAAATATAAACTGGAAAAAATTATATCCAGGACAGAAGAGGTTTGCAAGTTCAATCAATGGCAAGGTCTTTTACTTGAGAAGATAAGACTTCAACTATTTCCAATCATGTTCACACATTTAATTGAGCCAATCTGCAAAGTTGCAGATGTTAACATTGTTTCACTAATCTAAAAAGTTATTGAGAATCAAAGTGCCTAAACGTGCATTCCATTTTTGTTCTTTAAAAGGTTCCTTCCTTTGATAGAG